TTGTTTTATTTCTAGTTTGATTTTTGTAATCAAACAAATTCTCTCATTTCCTTTATTTCTTTATATTTTGGTTGTTGTTTAGTACACAACAGAATTTAATTTATTTAAATACAGTGAAGATTGGCCAACAACGGATTCATTCCCAACTTAGCCCTCAGAAATGACGAGTTCGGAAAATATTTAGCTTTTATCATTTTGCCCAACATAGAGTTTGGATGTTGGACCAGCCGCCATCCCTATTTGGCTAACATAGCAAAACCTGCTACCCCGTTTGGCTAGCAATGGTTTTACTGGGCGTGCCAGAATTTGTAAATATAAATTTTGAAACATATGTGTTTTAACATATTTTAAAATTCATGTTATAAATGTTCACGGTTTAGTTTTTGAACTAAATGGTGTCGATTATTTGAAAAGTAGGTTCCTATTTTCAATCTGTATTCCAGATTGTTTGTTTTGTGGCTGTTGCCCGTGGTTTTTTTATCACAGTTGGAGGTGTCCAATTGTGGTTTTTCCACGTAAAATCGTTGTGTCTCTTTGTCTTGGTTGTTTGATTGGGATTGTTATATTCTGCTTAAAATTGATACATAATCACAAATCAACATCTATGGGATTTCTAGATTTTTCACCTATATCTCACATAGTTTGACAGATTTTTTCCTTTTCCCTTTTCAAAGCTCTCCCTAAATCCCACAACCAAAAACAGCGTAAATAAGTTATGGGGTACTTACGTATAGGTCCTAATAAGTGGACTTCTATCTAATATGTTCTATGAAAAAAATTTGTCATTAAAAAAGTCACCAATTGTAAACTTTAGCGATAATTTATAAAAATTATGATAAAAAAAAGTCACTAATTGTCAAAACTATAATTATTTTATTTTTTCTGTCACAAAAAATAAAAAATAAAAAAGTCAAGAAAATAAAAAAAATCTTCTCATATAAAACTAATTTAACTTAAATTAGTCAAAATATTAAAAAATTAAGTTAAAAAAAATTCTTTCCAGACTAACCCATTGTAGTTAACTTTTCGTGATCCCAAAATGTACCGAGGGATCACAAAAAATCTGACTACTCTCTGTTCCCTTTCTTGTTTGCCAACTGACAGGCACAAGACATAAATCCTCGAAGAAAAATGTTTCACAACTCTAGAGTAAGAACTTTAGAACTTGTTCTAATAATATGACAACTGTGTGAGGCCTATCTTCATGTGATGTTTTGACTTGAATTTTTTATTTTTGGAAGCTATCAGCTCTGTAGAACTCTATTGAGAGTTCTACTTTTAGAGCTCTAGATCATCACTGAATCCTCAAATTTTTCTAATTATTATTAATAGGTTCAATGCATGTCTCTGCATGTGCTTTTGAATTTACGCAGAGATGAAGAAGAATGAAAAATGACAAGAAACTCAATTAAATTGAAAGAAGTCAAGTTTTGGGCAATTATACCATACTCCATATAGTTTTGTTTTTTTTTTGGTTTTTGTAATTTAGCTGTTGTTGTTGTATATCAAATTTTACTGTCAAAATTTTCATATATGATGTTTATTTAATTCAATTGTAACATCTCTTTCTAATCTTTAAAAGAAAAAAAATGTAACATCTATTTGAAAAAAATACAATGAAATTAAGAAGTAAATCATTTAATCTTTTCAAAATGATTGAAGAGTTGGTGTTTAATTTAAAAGGGGAAATTACTTAATAGTGAGATAGAAAAAAAAAAAGAAAAAAAAAAGGGATTACAAAAACATTGGGGATGTAAGTGATTTTGTGATAGGATGCAAATGAAAAATTGAGAGTGCATGTCTTACTTGCACCCCTCCACATTTGGATTTTTTTTTTTCTTTTTGTCTGTCCAATTGATAAGTAATTCTCCCAATTTAAAATGGTTCATTTTAAATGACTGTTTTGATTTCTGTCCAAATTCATAATAGATATTATTCACTGTCTAGAAGTGATTGAGGGGCTGACATTCAATGTAAAATGTCAATTTCTTTTTTAATAATCCATCTCGTCCTAGATTTCTGTCAAATTTCTCAACAGAATTGGACTAAATTAACATAATATAAAAAATTAAAGGACGAAATTGGTACACTTAAAATTACATGGTTCAAATTGACATTAGGGACAATGAGTACAATTTGTAGTTTTATTTTCTTTTATTTAATTGGGTTAAGAAATGATGCTTAAATAGAAAATTGTAAAAAGAAATTAAATAAAATCAATTTTTGGTTCCTTACATAAAAAATGAAATATGTATAAATAATTTTATTTTGTTTTTGGAATAACCCTATATATAAATTGATGTCGTTCTAATTTTTTCTACCACTAAGATGTAAAGGTGGTAGGATTCATATTAATCATTACTTATGAAATTTTACACACAAACCAAAACCCCCCCCCCCCCAAAAAAAAAAAAAGACCTATGAAATACAAGCCTTTGTGTTTAATAATAATAAAAATAAGTAAGCAAATCTTTTTTGTATTATTTATTTTTTAAATTTTAATTTTAATTACAAATTCTAATGAAACTTTGAGAAACTTACATCTCGTAGATGAAAGAAGCAAATTACAAGCAAAGATACATCAATAAATCAGGGAAGTGCACAAGCATCATAGCTAACCTTCACAATCCCAACTAGGTTGGCACCATAAAAGAAGTACAATCATATGCAAGCACTTAACCCAAGATTGGCGAGAAGCCAATTGAAAACGAACATAAAAATAGGAGGTTGGAGACCAAAGTTTCTGCCGTAATCAACTCACATACCAACGCAGACCTTCAAAATTTTAATTTTAATTACAAATTCTAATGAAACTTTGAGAAACTTACATCTCGTAGATATACATGGACAGAGTGAGTTTTTTTATGCACAAAATTTTCCATAGTTACTTTCTAATGGAAGAGAGATGTAGGGGGTGAAAAAGGTGTCAAATCATTTGGTTGAGTTTTTATATTTTTTATTTTCTTAGCAAAAATTTAAATTTTTTAAATAAAAAATAATTTATCATTTTTTCATTGTTTTCTCTTTTTGAGATTTTTCTTAAAAATATATGTATATACTTCTTTCATATTTGTTTTAATCCAATTAATTTTAAATTTCGACAATAAAATACAAATTTTGAAAATTCATCCAAACGTATTATTCTCAAAGGTAGGGGTGTAAATCTAGCCCGGCTCGGCCCATGTCGGGCCACGCGGGCTCCCATCAAAATTTGGGTCGGGCCAGGCCGGGCCTCTGGTCAAAAAATTAGGCCCAGACCCATGGATATTTTGGTCTTGGGCGGGCCAAGCTGGTGGGCTTGGGCTTGGCCTCAGGTTAGGGTCGAGCTTGGGCGGACTTGACTTTTTTTTTTTTTTTGAAAATTCATCCAAACGTATTATTCTCAAAGGTAGGGGTGTAAATCTGGCCCGACTCGGCCCATGTCGGGCCACGCGGGCTCCCATCAAAATTTGGGTCGGGCCAAGCCGGGCCTCTGGTCAAAAAATTAGGCCCAGACCCATGGATATTTTGGTCTTGGGCGGGCCAAGCTGGTGGGCTTGGGCTTGGCCTCAGGCTAGGGTCGAGCTTGGGCGGACTTGACTTTTTTTTTTTGTTTTTTTAAAATTTTTATACCAAAATTTTATTATTTTTCACTAAAAAAAACACTGGGTCTCGGGTCAGACCTTAAGCGGACTGATGAGCTGGGTTAGGCGAGGCAGGCCCACGGGCTAGTGGGACTTCAAAATGATGGCTCGGGCCTAGGCCCAGGGGCACGGGCCTGGGCCCACCTCAAACTGCAGGCAAATTTCAAACCACTCACAAATCGCAAATCATTTTTACACTCCTACACAAAGGAAGAAGTGTGTGTGTGACTTCCTCTAGTACAAAATAATTATAACCTAGCACCAACATCCCACCC